CCCTCCCCCCGCTCTCCCCTTCACCTCCTGAGTCTCTTCCTGCTTCCCCGGCCGTTCGCCACCGATCTAACCACCATCGCCGTCCATTTCGCTGCATCCTGCCCCTCTCCCCTTTCTCCCTCTCTCCTCGCCCGACCCGGCGAACATCGATAGGCGAGCCAGCGCCGCTCATGGCCCGCGAGAAGTTCAAGCACTCATGGGAGTCTCGTGTCACCGCCGGCCCGGTGCCCCTCGATCGCATCACACATTCCGGCAGCGTCGGCACACCCGCCACCCTGACCCCCCCCTCGACTCTGGCCCCGCCCGCCTGCTGGGCCTCTTCCTCTTCCACCGGGGCCCGGATGCGCTCGTCCTCCGGCTTTGGCCAGCCTCTCGGAGGCGGCAACAGCGGCACCTCCGCCACCGCCATGCACAGCGGCGGCACGCCGCTGGTTTCCCTCTTGCAAGCCGGCCTGCCGGCCTCCCTGCCCACCTCCCTGCCGGGCTCCACCTCCTGGCCGGGGCCGGGCTCCCTGCTGTCGAACCAGCTTCTGTCTTCTGGCGGCCCGGGGCCGGCCGGCGAGCTATTTCCCCCACCGGCCATGGTTGCTGATGGCCACCACCAGGTGACCATCGCCGTGGCGATAATCTTCAACCCGGCCGTTCCCCCACCGGCCATGGTTGCTGATGGCCACCACCAGGTGACCATCGCCGTGGCGATAATCTTCAACCCGGCCGGGCGGCAGGTGCTGTTGGATCAATTCTTCGCCAGCCTGGCTCTGGTGGACCACTATCTCGAGCGGGATCTCCTGCGTGTGGTCACTCGCGAGGTGCAGGTGGCCCTGGATCTGGGCGAGTCCCTCGAGGCCGCCCGGTCACGGTCTTCCTCCACGTCCTCGACCTTTTCCGGCTGCTCGGTGTCGGCTCCGCTGCCGGTGGCCGGTGGCCCGGCCGGGGCAGGTCCCTTTCCCGGGGGCGGCCTGTCGCGGGCCGCCGCCGGGTCCATGTCCGGCTGGCTTCCCCCGGGCCCGGCCGGGGCCTCGCTCGGGTCTTCGGTCTCCTCCCTTTCCTCGTGCTCCTCCTTTTCAGCCTCCCCCCCGCCGGGGACCATGGCCAGCTTCTCGCAGCCGTGGTTCCACCAGGGGCCCCTGGGGATCCTGCCACCGCCGTCGCCCTCCGCCTCGCCGTCCGTCTCGCCCGGGGGGCAGCTGCTTTTCCCGGCCCTGATTCCCCCCTCGACATCCTCCATGGCGGCGGCGGCGGCGGCGGCCTCCTCCTACCACCTGCCCTCATCCTTCCCCCTGAAGCCCGGGTATATGCCCTCCGAATGGGGGCCGTCCCCCTCGCAAGCTCCCTTCCCGGCGGGCAGCCAGCCCGGTTGCCTGGCCGCCGAGCCGCCCCCGGCTCCGATCCCCACCATCACCCTGTCCCCCCCGCCGACATCTTCCTCCCTGTCGGAGTCGCCCTTTGCCTCGGCCTCCTCGTCCAACTCCTCGTCGGTGTGTTCCTCGCCCTCGCCCTTCAGCAGCCTGCCCTTCCCCGTGGTTGTCGGCGCCGCTGGTGCCGGTGCCCCGGCCGCCGGTGGTTTGCCCACCGCCAGCCTCGGGTCTCCCTCGCCCTCGGGCATGATGCCCTTCCCGGTGGCCGGCACTCCGCCCCACCTGGGCGGGGGAGGAGCTGGTGCTGGGAGCGGCTCGGCGGCGCTCCTGCTGGCTCCCTTCAGTTTCGCCGGCAACGAGCTGGTCGCCTCCTCGGTGCTGGCCTTCCAGACGCAAGTGGTCCAACTGCTGGCGGCTCCGCGTCTTGCCCAGCCGGTCTGGCTGCAATCTTGTGCCGAGCGTTCCCGGCTGCCTGGCCCGGCAAACGCCCCGAGCCCTCGGCCGCAGTTTGCCCTTGTGCCCCGTCTGGCCGATGTCCTGTGCGTATTCTGGCCCCTCCCTCTCTCTCTCTCTCTTTCTCTCTCTTTCTCTCTTTCTCTCTTTCTCTCTCTCTCTCTCTCTCTCTTTCTCTCTCTCCCTCTCTCTTTCTCCCTCTCCCTCTCTCTTTCTCCCTCTCCCTCCCTCTCCTTCCCTCTCCCTCTCCCTCCCTCTCCCTCTCCCTCTCCC